CTCGGGCCGAGGGCCAGCGGGAGCGTCGGCGCTGCGGGGCCGCGGGGGTCGGTGAGTGCCAGCCGTGCGGATGGGGTGGAGGGCCCTGCGGGGACCCCGGAAACTTTTCCCGCCGCAGACTTGGGAGGATTGGGGGGTCTACTTCTTGTGCTTTTCTAAGCCCCCCAAAGGGTTACTCAGCTGGGGGAGATGGGGGATCCGGGAGGGGGGACCACAGTGCGGCGGGAGAGGAGCCGTAGAGGGCGGGGCGGGGGCAGGAAAGGGCTGGAGACCTTTAATGGGGTGGGGGGGGTCTGTGTACCCGGACCAGGTGGAGATCCAAGTTCTGAGGAGGGTCTGGGGGAGACCACAGGTACAGGGCAGCTGGGAGTCGTGCAGGGGAGTCCAGCCGTGCCCGGGGGACTCATCTCGGTGCGGGAGCCGCGGGCAGACCTGGGGGCCGCGCGGCAAGCCCGCGGGGGCCGAGGGAGCCGGGGGCACAAGGCTCGGGCTTTGGGGGTGAACTGCCGCACCTGTCGCAGGGGCCGGGGGCCCAGCTCGCAGCCAGTCGTGGCTGCGCACCACGGGACAGAGGGGGACACTGCGGGAGACTCCAAGGAGGCAGAGCTGAGACCTGGGGCTGGGCGACAAATGAGGGGCGGCTGCATACAATGGCGGGGGGCTGGCGTTTCCGTTCCGACCTGGCTGGGCTGAGGACTAGCCCTGGGGTGCGTTCTCTGTCCTTGGGCGACAGCGGCTCCCCGCCCCACACATCCCGGGATCCCTACCCCCGCACCCGCCGTGGCCCCGGGGGAGCTGGTTAACCAGCCGGGGAGGAGGACACCGACCTTGCCAAGAGGACAGCCCCAGCGCAGCTCGCGGGTTCCTTCCCCGGCCCTTGCTCTGTCACACCCAGGCCTAGTCAACCCCCCCACACACACACCCACACACACACTTATCCCCCGTTCGCTAAGGGGGCGGCTCCTTGGAGCGCAGACAAAGGCCCCTGGAGTGTGGCGGGCAGCGGCGTCCCCGTCTGGGGCCCCGGCCCACGCGCCACATTGGCTGCCCCACTGCGCCAGGACGGGGGGCACCTGAGCAGAGCCCGGGAGGAACGGGGGGTCCTTGCAAAGACAAGAGAAGTGGGGGAGGGACTTGACACAAAAGCTCTGAACTTCTGCCAAGGAACCTTGATGCAGAAGTTTCCCGGGTGGGATGGGGACTTTCTCGGAGGATTCAGACTTGGAGTTAAGCTGCATGCAAATGGCATGTAAATAGAATGCAAATCGGCTCTGCGGGTTGGGAGCCTCCGCCAGGCCAGTTTTGTGTCGAGACTGGAGTGAACGGTTTCCTCTTTGGCCCCTGCGCTCCGTCTGAAAAGGGGTCGGCTGAGTTGGGAGGGAGTCGCCATTTGGGACACAGGCAGCAAGACAAGCGGTCTGTTAGAAAAAGCACCTCAAAATCTTTATTGCTTAATTTGTGACTGCAGTAAATGTGCCAGCTACAGAACTGGGGCTGGGGCACTGCGGTGTGAAAAATGGACAAGCCCCTGCTCTCAGGGCACTGGGAGGTGGGCAAACAGACACTAAGTAAGGAAATAAATGGTAAGTAGATAGAACTTCAGATTGGAATAAGGGCAGCCAGGAACATGGAACAGGGTGGTGTAAAGAGTGACAGTGATGTGTACATAGGGAAGATTGTTCTAGGGAGTGAGGCTGGAGTAGAACCTGGCAAGATGGGGGGCCCGCCACTGGGAGATCTTGGGGAGGAGCTGAGCCAGGCAGAGGGCATGGCGAGTGCAAAGGTTTGGAGGTGGGAATGAGCTGAGAGGAACTGAACAAAGGCCTTTGTGGCTGGAACTGTAGGCAGATGTGAGGGGGGGGTGGCAGGGACCAGCCAGATCGCGATCATTTGGGCCACAGAAAGGAGTTTAGGTTTTATTCTCCTTGGGCCAGTGAACCCTTGGAGAGTCTTGAGAGGGAAGCCACGGGATCTGATTTTTAAAAGCTCCTCTGACCTCCACAAGGAGACGGAGAGCAGCTCCCGTTTCATTCTGCCTCGGGGCGTGGCGAGGCACCGGGAGCCTCCGAGGGGCTCCGTCCAGCTTCGGGGATGGCTTTGAGCCTGGCCAGCCTGGTGGGCCCACTCCAGGGGTGGCTCCGGTTTTTAAATGCACTCCCTGCTTTTCGGCAGTTCTAGTCCACCACAAGCAGCCCCCACCCAGAGCCCCACAAGCCCTTCCACGCAGAGCGTCCTGGGGGTTCCGACTTAGTCACATTTTCTTCTCAGAATTACAGCCCAAGAGGCACCATCCACCGTGGAACGGGCAGCCAAGGATGCAATTTGCATTTAAATGATTGCTTTTATTTACAGGATTGGAGCTGCTTTGCATATTCATAGCTCACGGAGCCTGTGTTCTGGCAACCTTGTTTACCAACCTATGAGGGGTATTCATGCGAGGGCCCCCAGATAGGCTGGTGGTCTGGGCAGCATTGGGAAATGAAGGTTATGAGACAGTGTAACTTGGAAAAGATAGCAGAGGGTGAGAGTGTCTGTCTGGGAAAGAGTTTAATGTCAGGAAACCTTGTAACAGTTTAATCCCACTGGAGCAGGAAATGCACCAGTGGCTGTAACGGCAGGGCCGGGACAGAGTGTAACGCTGGAGTGTGTGGGGAGACCCGCTCGGGCCTCATCCTGGCCCTCTGCCAGATATGGGGTGGGGGGGTCAAACTCGATGCAATGGAGAGGCCTTGGCATCAGGAGTTGGGAGAAATGGATTCTAGTCCCAGCTTGGCCTGTAAATCCCAGTGAGCCTCGGGCCAAGTTGCCTCACCTCTCTACCTTCATTTTCCCAACAGGACAGTGGGAATCAGGATTGTCTTTTTGGTAAGCAGGGACCCCATGTTCCCTGTGTGCCAGGCACTGTGCTGAGTACTTTTCACACCAGCCTCGTGAAGGCGGCACTATCATTCATTATCTTCATTTTATAGACGAAGAGACTGAGGGTCAGAGAGGTTACGTCATGCGCACTATCACATAGTTCTGGCTGGCTTCCCTCCCACTGAGGTCTTCCACTCTCGAGGAGACTGATGGGAGTAAGTTCTGTGCCAGGTATTCATCAGGTACTGAACTGTTAAACATGCCCAGGACTAGGAAAACCCCCTCCCCACTTGTTTGTTTTTCGTCCTTTCCATGCTCCTGCACTTCCCCCATCTTTAGAGAAGGTGGGTTTAAGATACCTGTGACCTGCTGGGCACTGGGAGGGGGATGGGTGGCCTCCTTGGAACCCTACCAGTAGCAGCCGAGTTCCAGTGTGGTTGTACGTCTTGTATCTCCTTTCCTATAGGTGGGCTGGAAGGTGGGGATGCTTCTGGGTGGCCTGGCTCTGACTCCTCGACTCTCTATAGACACTGGTTTCAGGATGCGAGGCTGGCTTGGGGTCCTCTGGCCCCAGGGCCCCTCTGGAAAGCCACCTTTCCAGCGAGGCTCCTACTTAGAGCTCCTGCTGTGGGGATCTGGAAAGTTTGAGGGGTCCCAGGACAGACCACCCCCAAAGGCATCTCCCCTTCACTCCCCCTCGGGGACCTCTTTGCTTGGTGTGTGACGGGGGAGGCTGGAAACCAGTGGTGGACAAACCCCTGGGTGAGCCCCCCTTCCCGCCCCACCTCCATGGCCACTGCCCCTCCTGGAAAAGCACAGTCAGAAAAGTTCATAACCTCAGATGAGGGAGCATTTGCCAACCTTTCTTTTCTATTTAACAGACACTTCATATAATTGCCTACCCCACGTTAACTACTGTCCTAAAACCTAAGTACTAATTATTTTTGGCCGCACAACAAGCCCACGTGATGCATACTGTTATCACTCCCATTTTGCAGAAGAGGAAACTGAGGCGAGAAAGGTTAAGTCAGCCGCCCGGGGTCACAGGGTGCTAGCAAGTGGCAGGGGCAGGACTGAAGCCCGAGGGTCTCACTCTGAAGTTCACACGGCCTGGGGAGCAGCGGGGCTGGGAGCGCCAGCCTGCATGTGTGTGGCCTTCGGGCAGGCCGGCTGTCCCCACACGAGGAATCCGGCCTGCATTCCTTCCAGCCTCTGCAGGCCCCGGCTCGCCAAGAGATGGAGAGATGAGCACGCTGCTCCATCACCTGCTGGTGGCTTCTGGCCCCTCCTCAGGGGGAGAGAGGGTGTGTGTGCGTGTGTGTGAGATGCACTGTATTTAAGAGCATCTGAATGACTCACATTTCTGGGGGCCTGGCTGGCAGCAAGGGTAATTAGTATGTGAGTCGAGTCTTGCACATTCGTTCCCGTTTATTCATTCCTCCTTTGGAGGAGCCGCACGCCCCCTCCCACGGGTTTCTTGCCACATATTCATCCCGTCCCAGTCAGCCTGGCCTGGAGGCTGGCTAGAAACCTCTCATCGGGTCCTGTTCCGTTCAGGGCTCCTGGAGAGCTGCTCAGCTCTCGGGGGTGGAGGCCCCAGGTGGCTCATCAGCAGGACGGGGCTTACCTGACCGTGGGCGCCGCCTGTTGTGTCCCTGGCAGGGGTGGGGAGGCAGAAGGTCGGGGGGCCGTGGGTCCTGGCTCCCCTGCTGCATAGTCCATGCTTCTCAAAACCCCGGGTGCCCAAGCGTCTGAGCACACCCGGGGCTTGTTGAAACACAGGGGCAGTGGCCATGGAGATGGGGAGGGAAGGGGGGCTCACCCAGGGGTTTGTCCACCACTGGTTTCCAGCCTCCCCCGTCACACACCAAGCTAAGAGGTCCCCGAGGGGGAGTGAAGGGGAGATGCCTTTGGGGGTGGTCTGCCCTGGGACCCCTCAAATGGACTCTGCATTTCTAACAAGCTCCTGGGCGTTGCTGCTGCTGTTGCCAGTTCGAGGATCAAACTTTGACTTAAACTTCTCAGACCCTCAGTTTCTTCCTCTTTAAGAGGCAATGAGGGGCCGGCTCCGTGGCTTAGCGGTTAAGTGCGCGCGCTCTGATGCTGGCGGCCCGGGTTCGGATCCCGGGCGCGCCCCAAGGCACCACTTCTCCGTCCAGCGCGAGGCCGAGTCCCACGTACAGCAACTAGAAGGATGTGAACCTATGACATACAACTATCTGCTGGGGCTTTGGGGGGAAAAAAAAGAAAAAAAAAAAACTAAAAAAAAAAAAAAAAAAAAGAGGCAATGAGAACATCAGCCCTGCTAAGGTGACGTGAGGGTTAGAGAGCACATTTATCAATTCATTCATTCAGCAACTGGGTTATGGGCTCTGCCCACGTGCCCAGCACTGGGGAATTGGTGCAGAACAAGACAGACAGGGCCTGGGTGTTGGGAGAGGCGGGAAACAGACCAAAAGAATAATAAAATAAAATATTTGAAAATTGTGGCACATGCCTCAAAGACAAAGATCTAAAGTGCTGGCACAGAGCATAATGGGGCGGGAGAGCCTAATGTAGAGAGACTGGCCAGCCGAGGGCTCGCTGGGTGACGTTTCGAGAGCCCTGCTCTGTAGTAAGAGCCCAGTAACAATAGTACAATTGTTGGCTTCCTGGCTCCACGGCTTCTAGCTGTGTGACCTTGGACGAGCCCGCGGACCTCCCTGTTTCATTTCCTGTAAAATGGAGACAGTAACAGTGCTTGCCTCATAGTGTCGCTGTGCAGATTATAAGGTGTTAATATACGTGGAGCGCACGGAAGAGGGCCTGGCGCCTAGGAAGCACTGTAAGAGCTAACAGTTATTGTGGTTGTTGCTGTGGCAGTGATAGAAAACTCTGCAGGGCAACTCTGACTCCCCCAGAAATCCTAGGTGCGCTGGACTAGGCTTCGTTCTGTGAGGCCCTGTGTAGCCCTTCTTGATGTCATCCTGGACGTTGTTCTATGGAACAGTGGCTGTCACCTCATGGGGATCCTTAGCAATGATAATGACCTACTGGAGACAACTGGACCCTACTAAAGCCCCTGGCTGCCTAGATGTTGGGTAGGGAGGACTTTCTGGAAGAAGGGGGCCACTTGATGTAGGAGGAATAATGGAGCTTCTTTGTTCGCAAGCAACACAAAGCCAGCACAAACTGGCTTAATCCAAACCACGGAAGTTAATTGGCTGCCCGAGCTGCAAAGACCAGGGCACTGGCTTCAGGCATAGCTGAACCCAGCCGTTCAATGTATTAGGACTCTGTTCTGTCTCTGGGCCCTTTCCTCTGGGTCAGCTTTACTCCGGGACAGGTACTCTCCCTGTGATGGTAAATATGTCCTCTCCGGCACCAGGCCTATATTTTTTTAGCTTATCGACCCCAAAAGAAAGAGAAGACCTCTTTCCGGTTAATTCTAGCAAATATCCTAAGGCTGATTCTCATGGGTCTGGTCAGAGCCATGTGCCTGTCCGCGAGCCAATCAGTGTGGCCAGAGGGCGGGATAAATGCTCTGATTGGCCAGGCCTGGGTCAGGTGCGCATGCTCGGAGCTGGGCCTGAGGTGGCTGCCCAAAGGGGAATCAGGGGCTCTTGTCAGAAATAAGGGAAACGGACGCTGGGCGACAAAAACAACAGCTGTCCTGGAAGGAGGGTTCCAGCCTCAGGAATGAAAGCAGAAAGCAAGAGCGTATGCATTTCCCGTGTCAGCAGGGCGTGGGAACTAGCGACCGGACACCGCGGGAAGGACGCCGCGCAATTTCAGGAGCGTGGTCGCCATCTTGGTGTTCCCCTCGTCCCCGTTGGTTTCCTGTTGGGGCTGGAAGGCCAGTCAGGGAGCGGGAGGAGCGGGGGAAACCAAGTCCCGGTTTGCAGCCAGGCCTGGAGAGAGGCGATCCCCCCAAGAGAGTGAGCGGAGGCCGCGGGAGAAGGCCAGGTTCTTGCAAGGAAGGGCCGGGAGTGCAGGCCCGAGGCCGAAGGCCTGGCTGGTGTCCTGGCCTCTTCCATCCACTGTGTCCTCATGTGTGCAAGCCAGGCTTGCTCAACCTCAGCGCTGTTCACGTCGGGGCCGGATGATTCTTTGTTGTGGGAGGGCCGTCCTGTGCACTGTAGGATGCTTAGCAGCATCCCTGGCCTCTCCCCACTAGATGCCCATTGCACCCCCTCTCCAGTTGTGACGACCAAAGATGCCCCTAGGTGTGGCCAAATGTCCCCTGGGGTCAAAGTTGCCCCTGGTTGAGAACCACTGGCGTAGAGGGTCTTGGGGAGAGTTGGGGAGAGGGTTGGTGGTCAAGACTCCAGAAGCACATTTCTACCCATCATCCTCCCAGCCCCCCAGGGGGTGAGCTTGGCCGAGGGGTGACCTAGAGAGGCTGCGTAGGGTGTGTCCTGTTGTCACTTGCTGAGAAGTCTCTTAGTCCCCTTTGCCACTGATGAGAAATCTGAGGGAAGCCCACTGGAGGCCCCTCCACGGTGTCAGGAGGCAGATGGCATTTTGTTCTGACGTACCCGCTTCTCAAACTGTCATTCCCAGTGTGCTTCCAGGACCTTGCGATAAGCAGCTCTGGAGAGGACAGTATTTTTCCAAAGGGTGGTACGTTGGGATATGCCAGTGGGTAGACAACATGAGTTACATCAACAAGCATTTTAAAATTTCAGGAGATAAGTATTTCAATGTGTTGCATTTTCTTTGAACTCAAGTCAATTTCAAGGACTCAGTGAGTCGGTTAAGTAAATAACTGTGCGGGTGGTGTGTAGACGAGGCATAAATAGCTGAGGTGGCACTCCAGTGAGTGAGTGACCTGGCAGGGCCACGAATGGTGGCTGGACCGTGGGCAGGATTGCCATTGTCTAGGGGCATCCTCAACCCTAATTTGCCCGAGTGGGATGCTGGGATGCTTGTTTAAGAAGCGTCTCTCACCAGAACGCCTTCCGACCCGAGCCTGCCTTCTCTCATCTATAGGAAAAGGAGACGGTCCCTGTAGCACCAGGCTCCTTCTCGTTCGGCAGCATCAATAATTCATCCCAGTTGATGGCCTCACGGCCAAGGCAGGATCGGAGCTGCTCACAGGATCCCATAAAGGAAAAGAGAGAGAGATGGTCGATACCGCATTTACTTAAGGAAGCCCCAGGGACGGGCAGGAGCTGCCAGGAGGTGGCTGGTGACAGCCCCACGTGTGGGTGGAGCTAAGGCAGTGAGTCTGGCTTAAGATGCCTGGAAACGGGCATCAGAGCTGAGCTGTGCAGACCGTGGCTTTCTGAAGCCCAGGCTGCCTTTAAAAGCCAGGAGCTGGAGGCGGTGGGGTAGAGGAAAGAGTCCTGGTGAATGAAGCTCTCGTTCATTCGGTGTTTACTATGCATCAGCTTTGTGCCAGCGCTGTGTGCCAGAGCTTGAGTGTACCGGGGATTTTGCCCCCCAGGGGACATTTGTCAGTGTCTAAGGATCTTTTGGGTTGTCACAATTGGGGGAGGGGGTGTGCTTCAGGCATCTCGTGGGTCGAGGCCAGGGATGCTCCAAAACCTCCTGCAATGCACAGGACAACCCCCACCACAAAGAATGACCAGGCCCCCAATGTCAACAATTCCAAGATTGAGAATCCCTGGTCATGCTGATGAACAAGACAGACAGTGTCCTGTCCTCCTGCAGCTGCTGGAGAAGGACAGGAAGGGAAGAGAGGCGGAAGGGATGGGAGAAACAAAGTCAACAGGCAGAAAAAATGACAGATACGATTAGAGCTAAGGAAGAAATAGACAAGAGGCTCCGGTGGAGAGGAACGGGGGTGTGACGTCGGCCAGGGTCTGAGTGGATGACATTAAAGCTGAGACCATCAAGGGGAGGAGCAGTTTTCCGTGAAAGGGGTGGGGGGGGGGGTTACGCAGAGGGAGCTGGGGCAGGGGCAAGAGGAGACCTGGGTAAGCCCATCCCCGTGGCTGCCGCGTGGGGTCCAGCGTGCATGGGGGCCGCATGGGGGCCGGAGAGCATGCCGAGGAGAATCCTGCAGGCACCGCCGGGGGAGGTGGACTGGCGTGGAGCGAGAGGATGGATTCTGGGGAGATCTTTGGAGGAGGAGGGTGGGATGAGTGAGGGGAGAGGGAAGGGGTGGCACCCAGGAAGACCGATTATTTTGGATTTACTACATTTGACATGAGGGGATGCTTCTAGAAGCTGGGTGGTGTGACCTTGGGCAAGTATCCTAAGCTCCTGGAGACCCTGTTTTGTCACCAGTGTGAGGACAGGATGTGTCGAGTGCCTGGCCTAGAGTGAGTCATCGGGAACTGTTAGCTGTTACCATTGAGAGACTGAAAAGGGGCGATCCGTGCCATTCTCTCGGCACAGTGCTTGGCCCGTGGCTGTCTCTTTAAAGTTTCATTTTATTCTCTTATTTTGAAGAGGTCAGACATGGCACAGAATATAAAATTCAAAGAACACAAAAGAGTATACAGAGAGAGTGTCTCCCCCCACTCTGTTCTCCAGCCAATAGCGCTGATGATTCATGGTTGTTCACGGGGCCAGGCCAAGGGTGCAGATGTGAGCTGGAATACCCCCAGTGAGGGGCTGTGCTGCCTGGAGAATGGGGTGTCTTTTCCTGAACTGTCCAAAGATGCCATGTGGGCTAGCAGGTTAGAAATGAAATAGGTCTTCTTAAAGAATTCAGGAGAGTGGGAGTTTTACAATGAATTGATCTTTTTCTCCCCGGTCCCCAACTTTTCTGGAACATTGGTGGTGTCAGAGAGAAACATGAGAGCCCACGAGGTGGTCGCCTTCCTCCTGCTCTTCGTGATTGCCTCCGGGGCCTCTGAGAACGCCAGCACGTCCCGGGGCTGCGGGTTGGACCTCCTCCCTCAGTACGTGTCCCTGTGCGACCTGGACACCATCTGGGGCATCGTGGTAGAGGCAGTAGCCGGGGCGGGTGCCTTGATCACGCTGCTCCTGATGCTCATCCTGCTGGTGCGGCTGCCGTTCATCAAGGACAAGGAGAAGAAGGACCCCGTGGGCCTCCACTTCCTCTTCCTCCTGGGGACCCTGGGCCTCTTCGGGCTGACATTCGCCTTCATCATCCGGGAGGATGAGACTATCTGCTCCGTGCGCCGGTTCCTGTGGGGCGTCCTCTTCGCGCTCTGCTTCTCCTGCCTGCTGAGCCAGGCATGGCGCGTGCGGAGGCTGGTGCGCCACGGCAAGAGCCCGTCGGGCTGGCAGCTGGTGGGCGTGGCGCTGTGCTTGATGCTGGTGCAGGTCATCATTGCCATCGAGTGGCTGGTGCTCACCGTGCTGCGCGACGAGAAGCCGGCCTGCGCCTACAAGCCCATGGACTTCGTGATGGCCCTCACCTACGACATGGTACTGCTTGTGGCCACCCTGGGGCTGGCCCTCTTCACGCTGTGCGGCAAGTTCAAGAAGTGGAAGCAGAACGGGGTGTGCATCCTGGTCACCGCCTTCCTCTCCGTGCTCATCTGGGTGGCCTGGATGACCATGTACCTCTTCGGCAATGCCGAGCTGCGGCAGGGGGATGCCTGGGGCGACCCCACCCTGGCCATCACGCTGGTGGCCAGCGGCTGGGTCTTCGTCATCTTCCACGCCATCCCTGAGATCCACTGCGCCATCCTGCCCACCCCGCAGGAGAACACGCCCAACTACTTCGACACGTCGCAGCCCAGGATGCGGGAGACGGCCTTCGAGGAAGACGTGCAGCTGCCGCGGACCTACATGGAGAACAAGGCCTTCTCGATGGATGAGCACAACGCAGGTAAAGGGGTCGCCGCCCCGCTGGGGCCATTGGTCCCAAAAGGACTCTCTTCTTGCTCTCTGGGGGAAGGGGAGTCCCTGGGGCAGTCCCGGCAGATCAGAGCCCACAGATGCTGACCTCTGTGCTGAAACTGGCTCAGAGATAGGCTTGTATTTAGCAGTTTTTCCTATCAATTGCCGACTAATTTAATATAAAAAGCCATGTTTCTGGCTTCTTTTGAAAAGTCGGATCTGGCAATGCTGGGCTGCCATTCCCACCTGGCAGCAACTGTCTGGTGCTGGTGGGAAGGCAGGAACCCCTCACCGAGTTTTGGCTGCCCCTTTAGATGGGAGGGGGGATCCATTCTCTTTACCACACTCCCCACCACTCCCTATTGTTCCCTGACTCTGCCACTGTAACATATTCACATGAATTCCCTGGCTCCCTGGAAGTGTTTGAGTTTGCACGTGGGTGCTAGATGGATGCAGGGGGTGGTGAAGCGCACTTCTCATGTCCCCTCCTTACATCTGTCACCAGAAGTGTATGAATTTGGGCCCTGGAGTCACGCGTCTGGGTTCAAATCCTGTCTCTGCTACTTCTACATGTGTGGCTTTGAGCAAATTACTTAACCTCTCTGTGCCTCAGTTTTTCTCGTCTGTAAAGTAGAAATAATGAGAGAACGTAGCCCGTAGAGCGGTTGTGAGAAGTACCATCCAGAGGGCTACCCTGGGCCCCGGCGTGTTGGGTGGGCATCTTGGTTGGGTCCCCTGAAAGCAGAGCCTGAGACCTGGGTGCAGAGTGGTCCCTGCAAGGGAGCGGGCAGGGAGAACGAGGGCGGAAGGCAGATAGAGGCCAAAACAGGAGCATCGATGGGCTGGGTACCGCCGCGGGCGGCTGGGGCTCCGTCCTGCCAAGGACATGTGTAGAACGCGCCTCAGAATTGACCCTCGAGGGACAGGATGCTGCAGCATCTGTGCACCCGCTCCTGTCTCCCTCTGTCATGAACATCCCCCGTTAGTCTGGGAAATGGGCCGAACGCACTCCGTTGGCTTCCGAGGCAGAAAAGCAGAGACCTGGTGGGCGCTTGAGGTGGAGGTTTTCCGGGTGCGCAGGCCTGTGCCACCTCTGCGGCAGGATTCAGAGGTGAGCCCAGAGAATGCGGCCTGGGATCCCCTGCTATAGATGCTCGAGAAGTATCTCTTAGCATCAGTACTTAAAGTGAGTCAGCCAGGTGCCCAGCACTTGAGACTAAATAAAATTGCCTTTTCTCAGTTACCTGAAGATTTATCAGGGGCTATGATAATAATAATAACAACAATAATAACAGTAGCAGCAGCAGTGATCATTACCCATATAGTCACCATTTATTGAGCGCTAACTGTGTGCCAGGCACTCTTCTGAGTCCTTAACCCACATAATCTCAATAGTTCTCCACTCCACACAATGAGATGGGTCCTGTTATTACCCCATCTTACAGATGAATAAATGGAGCCTCTAAAAGGACGCACAGCTGGGAGGTGGCCCATTCCAGGCGGTCATGGTCCCCTTTGCAGTGACCCCCACCCCCCCGGCGCCTGGGCGCTGCTCACTGGCTGGTCGTACCGCAAAGTCAACCTTGTTGGGTTGAGTCCCGAGGCCCAGAGCGTAGCCTGCCTGTCCCCTGCAGGCCAGGGAAGCACACTCAGCCATCAGATCCTCCACAGCCCCCCGCTCTCCTCTCCCCACCTGATGTGCCCAGCTTCCTAGCACCCCAGCTCCTGGCCAGACCCACAGGAGGGAACAGCAGTGGCCCTGCCTGTGGATAGAGTCAGCAGGCCGGGCGTGGCGTTTATCAGAGCTGCATCCTTCTTACTGGAAAGCCCCAGGCCAGGAAGCCGTGTTTGTCGAGAGGTTTGGCAGGGATGAGCATCTGCTCGGGTGGGGCTAACTTCCCAGTTGCCAGGAGAAGATGGGCTCAGGCTGGGCACCACCACTGGGAGCCCAGAGGGCCCTCCAGGGGGTGTGATGAGCAGAGGCCAGGGTCCTGGTGGAGCCTCCTGTTCCCCGGCTCCTCCTGGAACAGGAGCCTCTTTATCTGAGACCCATAGACTCCCCTGGACCTCAAAGGTAGCGAGAACTCCTGAAATGCTGTAAATTTTTATACCTTCATTGGGGAATTGGTCTGTTGCTTTGTCAGGTTCTCAGAGCCATCTGTGAGCCCAGAAGGTTGAGGACCAGTGTTGTTGAACATGATAGTCTAGTTTCCTTGCAGTGAAATGGAGATGCTTGAACTACCCGAGTATTGGGGTCTTCAGAGGTAGGGTGGCTAACCTTTACGGGTACTTATCACGGACCAGGTACCGTTCTGAGCATTTTAGTGGCTAATCTCATTTAATCCCTACAGTATCCCATCAAGGTCTGTCTTGCAGACAGGAAACTGAGGCACAGGGAGGCTAGGCGACTGGCCCAAGAGGCAGAGCCAGGGTTTGAACCCAGGCGGGCTGCCTCCAGAGCCCACACGCCCAACCACTCTGCCACAGAGTTACTCTTCTCCTCTTAAAGCACTTTCGCGTCCCTCATCTCACCGACGTGGCAGGACAGCTCTGCGTTGAGAACACAGGGATTATCAGTCCATTTTACAGAGCAGGACACTGAAGTCCGGGGGTGTCAGGCCGCTCGTTTGAGCTCACACTGTAAGTGCACAGCAGCGCAGGGAGGGGGAACTTGGTTTCCTGAAGCGCATTCTGTGCCTCCTTTCCTGTGAAAATGCAGCCAGTACTGCACATCCACGTAAGATCCAGACAGCTCAGGGATCTGGGCCCCAGGGGGTACCGGCAGCACCAAGGCTGGCCCAAGGGGATGGGGGCCCAGAGGCGCCCACACCCCATCTCTTGCACACTCTGGCACAGTCCAAAGCCAAGTAAGTTGTCTTTCAGTCCCCCCCTTTCTTTTCCAAAACAAAACTAGCTTTATTATTTCTTTCCGATGATAAAGGATTAACAACAATCATGTAGAAGGTTCAGCGAGTAAACATACTAAAAATTGCTCAAAATCCCGTTGCCCAAAAGCAACTACTGCTGACTGCTCCCATCTTGCCAGATGTCTTTCAATGAGCACACAGTCTCCCTTCCTCACTGTCTCTCACATGTGTGCACGTACGCGCACGCACACACACACGACAATCTCATAGAGCAGTTCTTAACCTGACTGCACATTAGAATCACCGGGCAGCTTACAAAAATGACCAGTGCCTGCCCCTCATTCTGACTGAGTCAGTCTGTTGGGCTTAGGGTTTTTTTTTGTTGTTTTGTTTTGTTTTTGTGAGGAAGATTGGCCCTGGGCTAACACCCGTGCTCATCTTCCTCTACTTTATATGGGACACCGCCACAGCATGGCTTGACAAGTGCTGCCTTGGTCCAAGCCCAGGATCTGAACCTGTGAACCCCGGGCTGCTAAAGCTGAGCGCGCGCACTTAACCACTGCGCCACCAGGCCAGCCCCAGGCTTAGGTATTTTTTAAGCTCTCCACATGACTCTTAAGATGTCACAAAGTGGAAAGCACTGGTCTGAGTGGCGTTCTGCAGCGAGCTTGCTCAAATCTGTATGACATCATGGATGGGGGCCTCTCTAGCTCAGGGACTGCAGAGCTGTGGCTTTTCACGATGCACAGCTGTCCATCGGGCACCCTAATTTATTTTTCCCATCTCCAGCTAGTGACTATTCTGCTTGTTTCTGGCTTTCCATATAAGTAATGCTGCAATGAACATTCTTACCCATGCATCTTTGTGCCTTTGATCAGTTAACTCCTTGCAAAAAAACTTCCTAGACATGCATCAAAGAGTCTGCACCTTTAAATCTTGATATATACTGCCAGATGCCCCCCCAGAAAGGCAGACTAATTTACTGTCCCCCCATATATTTGTCTCATAATCGTATGAGAGCTTGATTTCCCCACCTCTTCACCAACCTTGGATGTTAGCAGACGTTGTGTGTGTGTGTGTGTGTGTGAGGAAGATTGACCCTGAACTAACACCTGTGCCAATTTTCCCCTATTTTGTATGTGAGACGCCACCACAGTGTGGCTTGATGAGCGGTGTGTAGGTCCACGCCCGGGATCCAAACCCACTAACACCAGGCCGCCAAAGCGGAGCATGTGCAAACTTAACCACTATGCCCCCAGGCTGGCCCCGGCAGACTTTTTTTTTTAATAGCCCTGTTTTACATCATCCCAAATGTATGTCACTAGAATTCACATGGGACCAGGCAGGGTGGGCCCCAGGCAAAGCCTGTTCCCTCAGAAAGCTCCGGTAGCCTAAACTGGAGTCCTGGCTAGGACTGCCTTGGTTCTAGAAACCCTTGCTTTGCAGGCTGGGGAATGCCGGGCACGCCCCCTCACCACGGTGGGAACAGCTGCTGTCATCTTTGGTGCTGGCCTCAGCCAGCTTGTATTTTAGGGAACTGGGCCCTATGGGGGCCTTGCCTAGGAGCTACAGTTGGCCCTGGTTCTCTTGCGTTTTAGCCAGCCAGCCTTTCGGGCTCTCTTCCCTTGAGAGCCCGTCCCTGACATCTTCAAGGGATGGAAAGGGCATTCCCCAGGCTGGCCTCTGGCTCAGCCAAGCCCCGGCAGCCTCCGCTCCTGTGTTTCCTTCCCCTGCATGTGACTCCAGATATAAACAACTTCATCAGCCTCGTGCATATTAATAAGTATCAACAAGGCATGAGGTAGGTGATAAAAAATTAAAATACACTGAAGGATGTAGCACCTCAGATCACATCTTGGAAAGTGTTAACAAGCGCATTAAATATTCACCTTTCAAAGGAGCAGTAAAGGCAAGTGTTCTTTCTTCTGTTAGGGGATTTGGGCTCTCGGATCTCCTGAAGGCCAAGAGCTATTTAAACTCTGACTCTGGGCTTCCCAGTGGAAGGCCTTGAGTCAGCTGTGGGGGCAGGGCCAAACTTGCCTCACTTGCAGACTCTAGACGGGAGAAGGCTGGCATTCAACCTGTGAACTTCAATTCCTGTGGGGACCCCTGTATGAGTGAACCCAGCTTGCCTTTCAGAGCTGGCCCAGGTCAGAGTGGGGTGTTAGTTGGGATTCCTGATGCTGCAAGTAATAAAAAAATCGGATTTGAATTGACTTAAGCAAAAAAAAACAAAAAACAAAACAACAAAAATAATGTACTGTGGATCAGGCTTCAGGAACAGTTAGATCCAGGAGGCTCAAGTGATGACTAGATTTGGTCTCTCTCCATCTGTTGGCTCTGTTAGCATCATGGCAGCCCACAGCTCTAAGCTTGCACAGAGTCCCAGTAGAAAAGAGGAACATTTCCCAGGATGCTTGAGCAAAAATCCCAGAGTTAGCTCTGATTGGACTCAATTGTCCTTCCCTGAACCAATCAGTGTGGCTGGGGAGATGTGAGGCCCTGATTGGCCCAGCTTAAATCACATGCCCACCTGGAGGCCAGGGGAGAAGGCAGTTGTAGCCAACACTCAGGCCTAGACTGTGGGAGGGATGTTTACCAGAGGACCACCACAAATAACCACTACAGAGAGGAGTGCTGGGGCCAGCGCACTTCACAGATGGCCTGTAGAGTCGAGCCTTTGTTTCTTCGAGGAGAATATGCTGGAGCCAGATTCCCCCACCACAGCTGGCCAGGTTTCTGTGTGATGAGGAAAGCTGTGCTGTGCTCTCTTCAAGCAGGTGTCCGCTGGGAAATGAGACTAGTCTCCTCCATGGACTGTCTCCTCCATCTCCTGGTGCTGCTGCCCAGCTCCCTCTTCTCTGCTTCCCGAAACAGGCATCTCCTTGCTCAACACGTGCATAACGAGCTGCTTGAAGGGGACGCTAAAGCAAAAGAGGTTTTCATGGGGCCAGCCCAGTGGTGTAGTGGTTAACTTCACGTCATGTGCTCTGCTTCAGCGGCTGGGGGTTCGCAGGTTCAGATCCCAGGCACAGACCTACACACCGCTCATCTAGCCATGCTGTGTCAGTGTCCCACATACAAAATAGAGGAAGATGGGCACAGATGGTAGCTCAGGGCCAATCTCACTCACCAAAAAAAAGAGATCTTCATAAGTATGTCTTGGAACATGGATTTCCTACCCTGCCTCAGGTTCTTTGGTCAGGTGTGGGCTGAGCTGCCCCTAATGTCACTTAAATTCAAGATTCTTCTAAGTAACTGTAATGGTTACAAACATAGCATCTGGAGCCAGTGTAGTGTGATGGTTAAGAACGCAAATTCTCTGCCTGGGTTCGACTGCTGGTTCTGCCACTTACCGGCTGTGTGACCTTGGGCAAGTCACTTAACCTCTCTGTGCCCTATGTAAAGTGGAATAATAAAAGTACCTATTATGCTGTGAAAAGTCAATGACTTAATATATGTAAAGTACTTTCCCCAGTGCCTGGCTCCTGGTTGGCACTCTGTGGAGGTTAACTATATTACTGAGGTGATTTTAGTCCCTACCCCGAGTAATTGGTAAAAATCCCAAACTCGCTTGCTACTCTTGAGCCAGAAAAATCACTCCCTTTCAAGGAAGACTTTTAAGTGAGGCTTTTCTTAGCAAAGCAAGATTAGTGCCTTCAGTGAGAAGGAAGATAATGAAGATGCCATCTCATAATTGAGATGGACTTTGGTTTTTGTTGGGTTTTTTTCATAGTGCTTCTACTTTATTATTTTTTAATAGACTGTTTTTTAGAGTAGTTTTAGATTTACAGAAAAATCGAGCAGGAGATAGAGAGAGTTCCCACATGTCCCCTCCTCCGGTTTCTGGTTCTATTCACAGCTTGCGTTAGTGTTACATTTTTTTGTTGATGAATCTACTGATACATGATTACTAACTGAAGTCCATCATTTACATTTTTTTTTCCTTGTGAGGAAGATCAGCCCTGAGCTAACATCTGCCAATCCTCCTCTTTTTTTTCTTTTTTTGCTGAGGAAGACTGGCCCTGGGCTAACACCCATGCCCATCTTCCTCCACTTTATATGGGACGCCGCCACAGCATGGCTTGACAAGTGGTGCGTCGGTGCGCGCCCGGGATCCAAACCTGCGAACCCCGGGCTGCCGCAGCGGAGCACGCGCACTTAACCGCTTGCGCCACCGGGCCGGCCCCCATCATTTACATTTTAGAGGTCACTCTTTGTTTGTACATTCTCTGGGTTTGGATGGATGCATGTCATGTATCCGCCATGAGAGTGTCATACAGAAGAGTTTCATTGCCCTAAAACTGCCCCTAATCATCATCACCTCCCAGCCCCTGGCAACCACTCATCTTTTTCCTGTCTCTATAGTTTTGCCTTTTCCAGAAGATTGTAGTTGGATTCATACAGCCTGTAGCTCTTACAGACTGGCTTCTTCACTTAGCATATAGATAATATGCACTTAAGTTTTCTCCATGTCTTTTTGTGTAATTTGGTTTTTCTTCACAAAAAAGGCGATGTAGTTCTCTAAAAGTACACAGCAGTAAGAAACACCGTTTGCCCACCTTTCAGAGGTAAAAAGTGCTGACATTGTTTGCATCTTTGCTTCAGATCTCTGTTTTTTCCTGTTTAGAAATAACCCCACCAAGGGGTTGAAGTCCCTCTGTTCTCTTCCCTGTCACTTTGCCATGAAGACGACCTCTGTCGTGTACTCGATGTCGGGGTTCTTAGGGCTGTCCGCCTCTGCATGTATCAGAAACAGCGAACAGTGCTGGGAGTGTGGTGTTGAGCTGGACATGAATGGCATTCTGGGTGAGGAGGTCTTTGTCAGAGGAGACCTTCTGAGGGATGCGGAGGTGTTTCCTTGTCACCCGTGGCCCCCGGAGCTGGGGGGGGCAGGTGCAGGCTCAACTCTGGGTCCCCTCCCCGCCAGAGCAGCCTGCGCCCTGGATTCTACAAACTTCCCAACCCACGGAGATGGGTCAGGCTCCAAGAGAGCCAGAGAACAAAGCGCCTTTGTGACTTTTGTTTGGAATCAGGCTTGTGACAAAGGGGAGGATTGGGGGGGGGCGTGCCTGGAGCATGATGTTGATGCAGGGGAGGAAAACAAAATTGTGTCTTTTTTTTTGGTGGTGCGCTGCCTCTCCCTCCTTCCCCAGCTCTCCGCACGGCAGGATTTCGCAACGGCAGCTTGGGAAACAGACCCAGCGCTCCATTTAGAAGCAACGTGTATCAGCCGACTGAGATGGCCGTTGTGCTCAATGGCGGGACTGTAAGTATCAAGAGGTGACGTTTTGGCAGGAAGCCCCAGAGCGGTCACTACTAGGGAGCAGCTTCAACAGGGACACACTGCTCTATGGAGGCTGCTTAAGGGGCCTGCAAAGACCGCGGCTCAAGTCGACACCCCTTGCAGCTAGAATGCATGCAGTGCTTCCATTTTCTTCTTTCCCTCTCTGCCCCCCTTCTCCACGCACAGAAAATCCTCCTATACGTAGTTAACCATCTGTAGATTTGTCTGAAAGAGTCCTCATTTCTTGGGGCTCTTGTACCTAAGGAATTCTCTGGCTTCCATTATACAGAAGGTGCCCCCTCCCTCTCCCTGGAGGTGACTCTTAGGAACCCCCAGAATTATGAAGCCCTGGCAGATTGTGCTGACATCCAACCTAGCTTAGCCCCTTGCCCCCGTTCCACCCTCTCTGTCCCCCAGCTGGGTACCGCATCCCCCCACCCCCACTCCTTAAGAGATGTCTTAAGAAATCAAAGTGATTCTCATTTCTCTCCCTCGGACAAAAAAACAGGTTTACTATCTGATGCCAAACAGACCTTGAGCAGAACTGTCATCCTTTACCCTTTGCCTCTGTGGAATGACATCATTTTGTTTTTCCAGCAATCCAAGACACACCCTCATTCCCGCATTTAATTTCCAGACATAGCTACATGCTTTCAGAAACAGCGCACGAGCCAGTTTACACGTGTAATTGGATTTCCATTCTTTATATCATGTGCCAATTCCATAACTCAACCTGAGTTGGTTTTTTATTTTTTGTGTTTTTTTTTTAATGTAAGTCAGTGACGGTCTTTGCTCTCTGGAGGGAATTTAGGTTTTCCCAGCCTTTTGAATGGTGTGTGAGGCATTGGTTTGCACTGGTTGGGATCGGGCTCAAAAATAGACTCACAGATTTGCATTGTAAAGACCCCCTGCCACCCATTGGGCTGTTTTATTGTGGGATGCCAAGAAAAGGCTGACTTGCCAGCATAACCATAACAAATATCGTTACAAAGCGGGCCCCTCAGTCATTGTTAAGCCCTCCTGGTCCCTTCAAGGCCAGTGCACTTAAAAACACCCTGGACTTAGAAAGTGAAGTGGGTTTTCGGGTAAGGAAACATATTCATTCAGGGTGCATGGTTACAGAACAAGGGAGATGGCCTTCCCAAGAACGGAGCAGCGTAACACAGTGGCTGCTGCTTTTCTTGGGAATTGTTCAGCCCGTTAGGACAAGGCAAGGTAACTCAGCTTGGGCACGTTGTTAACGAACTGGTTTCTGATGTTGACTTTGCAAAGCACGGAGTTCTTAGTGTGTTATCCTTTTTCCAGATCCCAACTGCTCCGCCAACTTACACTGGAAGACACCTCTGGTGAAAGACTTTAAGTTCCAGAGAGTAAGAATCTCTCTTCCCGATTTTATTCCCTGGCTGTGTCTTTCTTGAGGGAGAAGTCAGTAACAGTAGCTGCACAAGGCCGCCTTGCAGCCAGGAGATTTGGAAATCCTAGACGAGGGGATTTTGTGTAAATGTGAACACTGCTGAACCGAAAGGCTAACACCGACTGCCCTCCCCTCCCCCGTGCCACACACACACACACACACACACACACACACACACACACACTACCAAACCAACCTCAACCCCGCAAACTAAAGCAAAGCTATTTGCAAATAGTATTAGGCTCACTCGAAAATGTGGCTGGAAGACTGTTTCATCCTCCAGGGGTAGAACAGAACCACATTCACAGCTGGTGGGCCAGGCTGGTGTTGGGTGATAGGGAGGTCCCCATACTGTCGCCCTTTCAGCAAGTGCTGGACCCCAGGTGGCCTCTTGGAGGTGACCGTTTCTTTGAGGAGGACTAATGGGGACTTCGCGACCATCATGCCTATTGGTTTGCACATTTCAGGGGGTTCAGGAGCAGTTAAGGGGGTTGTGGGTGTGATGCCAAGGCTAGGCCCAAGTGAATCGTGGGGCGAGCTTTACAGCCAGTAGTGGTGGAGGGAACCTGGCATGTGCCAAAGAAGAGAAGGCTAGCTGGGAGTTAAGTGACCATCACATTGAGAATGCTCTGGCATCTCTGGCGGGAAAGCGAGCCCTCCTCCCTCCCTGATGGAGCCATAGCGCTATTCTGGCTTGGGCAGCAGTCTCCGTCCTCCCTCTCCTCTCCCTCTTCCCGCACTGACCAGTGCTCCTCCAAGCCCTTTCCCAGTTGTATTACCATGTTCATTTCAAAAGCTCAAATGGGGCGAACAGCTTAAAGCCCCCTGGGATGGCAGGCCGGAAGGCAGGCGCCACAGCAGATTGTTCACTTGGTGGGGTGTCCCAGGGCTGCCCCCAGGATGGAGACAGACACCTGATGCCCAGCAGGCAGTGGGTTCTTGGGTCTTTTACGTAGATGCAGTGAGAGTTTCAGGGCAGGGTGGAGCACCTGAGGGTTTCTTGCTGCTTTTAGAGGGTGTGGGCACATTTTTGTCTTGGTTTTCCGAAAGTTCCATGAAAACGGTTCTCTTCAAAGCCCATTGTTTTGTCATGGTTCCATCTGTCCTAAGCAAGTCATCCCTTTGTTACTTGGCATTTCCAACATCTCGGCCATTAAAAGCCCCATCTTCTCTGCACTGTTTGGCCAGCATAATCGCTAGCAATGATTCAAAGCAAAGAGTTTGAACCTGACGGCATGGAATGTATACATGAGTGTGGGTCCTTCTGCATATATTCTAATCACTATATTGCTTTTTTCTATAAAACAACCCATAAGCCTTTAACCTTTAAAGAAAATGAAAAAAGTTAGTGTTGGGGGGGAACTGACCTCTTCATAAGCCAATATATCTGAGCTGAGTATGTTTTAATAAACCTTCTGATTTTTCTCAAGGCCCTAGTCTCTGCTGTGTCCCGTCCTCACCCCGCCACCCCTCCCCGCCCCACCCTTGCAGAGCATCGGGGTCACGACAAGGCCAGTCTGGCCATCCCAGTGTGGCCCTCCTCCTTCTGGCTAGCGCATTTCCTGTGTAACCTCCCATGGGGAAGAGACAGCATGGCCCAGAATGCCGCCCCCACCTGACCTTTGGGAAGCCGCCCCGCCCCTGCCCAGAGCACGTGCTTGCTTCTAGAAAGTCGGGTTCCAGTCCTCTGTGCGAGGAGTGTCACGGGGTGGACTGAAAACGTGCAGTATTGGGGAGGGGGGCGGGCCGGGACCTGGGGTGGGGCTGGAGCGGTTGCATGCAGACCCAGAATTCTGAAAATACAGAAATCTCCGAACACCTCAGTCCTGTCCGGTGAAAAACGACAGCGTTACACGTTCTTGTGCCAGGAGATGGCTGTTCACCCCCGCTCTCTGCAGTCCTTTGGAGCTCTCTGATCCATCCGTGACTCGGGCTGCAAGAGCCCCCCTTGCAGAAGGGAGCAATTCACACGCTTGTTTTCTCTCTAAGTTCTTGGTGGTCCGAGCCAGTAAGGTGAGCAGTGAGCACGGCGTAAATGGCTACAACGGGAAAGTCACGTTCCACCACCATAAAGATGGATCCAGCTCTGAGCCATGGGAAACCTCACTTAACAAGACCTTTCTTACTTCTTTTCTTTTTAAATCTCTGATAACATTATCACGCTTCTGGGTTTTGTTTTATTTTGGCTTTAAGGTCAAGAGTGGGCTGAATGCCCTCCCCCTGGGGACAGAGACGGGGAGTGAGGGGAGAGGGCAGAGAACTATTCACCTGAAGGGTGCAGAGAGGCATCTTTGCCAAGAGACTGGCAGCCAGCTGCCGCCACGGAGCCAAGTTTAAATACAAAATTAAATGGCACCTCTGTTTAAGATATGTTTATGTCAACAAGACCTGTGGGGAGAATGATCTGGAAGAGCACCTGGGGTCAAAATACCTGATTGTAAGCACAAATCTTCCCGAGTCCGCTATGAAAATCACCGCGGGACTATAACAGCCACTCTTGTGCCCCTTTCAATAGAAAATGGTCATTCTGTCCTGGGTTTCTCCACTGGAGGGGGAGGGGGGAGAGGGGAGGGAGGGACCCGGCTCGCAGAATTCACAAACCGGGACGTGCCTCGTGTCACGAGGGTTTGGGATTCAGTTGTTGAAAACTGGGATCGTGCGTTTAGCACAGATCCGTCGGGGTCCCCTGAACAGTGTAAACTTGGGGTGGTCTTCTTGGTTGGGCAAAGCTGAGTTGAACCCCAAACTGAAAGGGAGCACGGTGGCTTTTATACTCCAGTGATGCAATGATTATACCAGCTTACAGGAGTTCTCAGCAGGTGCTTTTTATTAATTGATAAAGAGCTAAGGCTCGGTTTTGATAGATAATATATATTTATTAAATGTATTAATGTGTGTTTTATAATGTACCTTTATCCTCCCCTGGCTGACTGTTGCATACTTATAAAAAAAAATCATTACGGAGATTTCAAGACAATCAATGTGTACCATAAATGACTGTGTATAAATATTACAAATTTAAAAGGTTGTAAAGCATGGGCAGATAGGTTTTATTTTCAAAATGCTGTTCTTAACACAAAAATAAAGGCTTTACTATTTACTTAAGACGTGTGGTAGCTTGTCGGAACCACCCAGTACAATGACTAGGCCTTCGGATCTGCCTGGAGGCTAAGTCTGTGGCATTTTGAATGGAAGGGTCCTGGTTAATAGCAAACCGCAGAACAAATGAGGGTAATAAGTCAGCTTACCCATAAAATGAGCAACTTTCTATAAAACTTCGGGGCCTGGACAAGAAAAATCCTTTGTTATTGTTGTCTGGGCTTAAGTGTCTCATCTTGTTGGGTTTGCAATAAAAGTTAAGGGCCGGTCTCCTTTGGAAATGGTCATAGGCAATAATGTCTTTTTTATGAAAAGAGTGTTCACCAGATAAGCTTAAAACCCACTGCAGAGGTTTGGGGCTTAGATTTAAATACAGATCTTTGTAAAGGCAGCCGAGAGAAGGAAACTGGTAACTAGAGCATTTAAGCGTCTCTTGGAAGTGGAGTTCGTTGCACATTTTAATGGTGGCTAGTGTAGAACACTCCTGAGGCACTGAAAAAATATATGGAGGAAAAGAATAAAGTTTGGGGATAAAGCAGAAAGCAGAAAGTTAAGACTAGTACTTTCTTATAATAAACTCTTGGCACTAAAGCACATTTGCAACAAATCTTATCTTGTGCAGAAAAGGTTCTGTATTCACATGTACCGAATCAAGTCCTTAAGGAAATCACAGTGGAGGAAGCATAATTAGGACATGTTCCTCCAGTGGGGTCATTGGCGCTCAGAAGGGAAAGGATACCAACAGAGGTTAAGGTGGTGGGGTCTTAGCTGCAGCCTCTTCCTCATCCTCCATCTTGCATTTCACTGCAAAGAGATGAAAGAGAAAGTCAGGAGCGATGTACATACCTAGACAGGCTTGTTATTTGGAAATCGAACACTGGGAAGTGTGGAGAAGGTCAGTTTCACCAAAACCCATCCGGCAGCCACTGTGGTTCTGGCGCCACGGATCCAGTGAGGAAGAAGAGGGCCATTGTGCCCCAAGGGCGGCACCTGAACTTTCAATACCGCTTCACGCCCTGTTCGTGGCCATTCTCAGATCAGTTCAGAAGGTCAGAAATGTGCTCTGCAGGTCGGGGGAACTGAAGGAAGGAAGCTCTGCAAAGACGCTGACAGATTCCAAGCTCGGCTCAGCGCCGTCTGTCACCACTCCCCTGTTCCCTCCACCCACCCAAAATTAAAAACTCAGGATAACACTGGGGTCAATACTAGGTCAGAAGAGAATCTTTTCTAGTGTTTCATGGTCTGGACAAGAATGTGAGCTGGGTGATTTCCTGAGTCAGCCAAACAGGAAAGTCAGCTGAACACCGAGTATGGCACTATTTGTAAGCGAAATTGTCCCAACAGATAAAAGCCCCTCTCCCCAAAAATAGGGAAACCCGGATCCCTGGGTTGGGGAGGGGGGGATCCTTTTGGAAAGACCCTCTCTTTTTTAATAAGTCTTTGCTTCTGCTATCCAGGTGCTTGCCCCAGAAGTTAATGCTGGAAGGGATATCCTGAGCAAGGGCGCGGGCTCTGGTGGTTTGTGGAGAGCAGTGCTCCAGTAGGAAGGCTGTTGGGGGTTGTCACCAAGTAGGGCGGAGGTTTCAGTTCAGCCCGTCCTGCTGGTCCTGGTCCTGGTCCTGACCTCCCAGAGACTCAGGGCACACCCTGCCAGACCTGAGCAGGGGGAGAGGTGTGGCCCCCATCGCCTGCGATGCAGTGGGCTGAAGGCTTGCAGCAGCACGGGCTGGCCCAGCAGTCTTGGAGCTGGGGCCACAAAAAGACTTTCCAGGGGCTCGTGGTCGTGGTTTATCCACAGAGTCCATTTCCACACCTTGCGCTTCCACACGCAGACTCGCAGCTGCTGGGCTTCCCTCTCCTGCCTCTCCCCACCCTCATGTTGCCCTGCGTGCAAAAATCCCCAGGGGCCAAGCGAGGAAGCAGTTTGAAATGCTGGCGTCCCCCAGAGTTGCCTTTACTTTCTATGCTTAATAATTATCAATTTATAATGTATGTATTTGACTTTGTGAACTACTAATAATTGTATTAATAACTCAAACCAGAAAAATATTTTTAATACTTGAAGGCTGTGGTCATGGGAAAAATTTTTTAAATTGTTTTAAATGTATATACCTTTTTTGTTCCATGTATATAGAAGCTATGCAAGTAACCACAGGGAAGACCCTATGATGATGACAGTGAATGATCCTTCATAGCTGAGGATGCTCCCCACCTCAGTAGGTGCCCTTCCCACTGAGAACCCACAGATCCATGATGGGGTCCCGGATGTGAATGTTTAGCAACTGAATGGGG